TTTTTTTTTTGGGGGGAAAAAGATTTTCAATTTTTTTTTAAAATTTTTAAAAATTTTGGGGACCCCCCCCCCCCCACAAAGCAGTGTCACAACTCTTAGGTTGTAATTTAGCACAACATGAATTGGTCAACATCATGATTAGTCAAATCATGCTATACAGTCTGGTATTTCCAGTGTGTCCTTATGGTTACCAGATTTGCCAAAAAAATTATTTTAAAGGATAGAACCCAAGCTCATGGCCAGTAGCTAGAACATCATGTTTTGTCAGGTCACACCTGTCTGGGCTCTGTCTTAAAGCATAACACTGGTCTGACCACCAAGATACTTTGTATTTGAATCCATGAATCTTATCTAGTACCTATCATTCCTTGACCTGCTGTCACATGGTGTTTGAAAGGCCACAGTATGTTGGAATCGGAGAGGATTAGTGGGAAAGGCCTATTGCAGCTCTAAGAAAGGGAACAGCTGGCACAGTGTTTCAAAATATGTCCTAAATATAGCATTATTTTAGTAGAATTATTCAAAAGCAAAGAAGTTTTTACCAGGGAGAGAATGAAGTATTGTTACTTAGTGACCTTTAAAAATGAAGACCAGATGAAATGTTTAAAAGGCTTCAGCAGTGATGGAAGCCCATCAGGTATCCCTGAGGTAGGACTTCAGGCTACCTGTGGTTTTTTTTTCTTCCTGGCCTCTAAATGTCTGTCAATAGAGTGCATCAGTTATAGTGGTAGCTTTTGAGATGATAAACCTTTTCACTGTGAACTGGACCCATTTCACAAAGATCACCTTGTATGAATAAGACTGCCAAACCAAATTAGGAATACCAGAAGAAAGTGTTTCTTCACGTCAGATCTCACTTTATAAACAGCTCGTGGTTTGCATTTCTGTTTGGCAGTTTCTGCAGGGTTGCTGATGTTGGCAGTTCATGCAGTACAGCCGGATCTGTTGCCTGGGGCTAGTGATAGGTAAAACTCTGTCCCTGTCTCACATGCTGACAAGTTAAATGCAAGAATTTTGTGATGGCAGTATTTGCCTTTCCACTCATCTCACAAAAAGAACTCAGTGGTTTTTAACATTCTATGCTCCCTTTTTCCTATTCTGCTAATACTAGATAAAAATCATATTTCATTGTATTTGCAAGTCAAAATAACTCCAACTCATGATCTCCCTACTGAACCCTCAGATCTCCAGATTTTCCCAGCAGGTAAGTCTGTGGAGAGCAAGGGGAGCTTGAGGGCTCCATGGTGAAGGAGGGAGTGGGACAGGAGCAAGGGCTGGGGTGAATGGGGCCCCATGGGGCCAGGGCAGGTCATCTAGAGGTGGGGGGGGGTGCGGTACGGCTCTCTACAGCAGCATGCACCCCTGAGGCAGGCGTGAGGTGTATATGCTAGCCACTGGGGCTGCCGGCTGCAAGCCCCCACGCTCCTTTGCTCCGAGGGGACTCGGAGAATGCTTCCCTCAGCCGTGCTCCTCCTCCTTTCCTCCTCTCGGGGCTGCACTCAGCTGCTTTTAAATCCCCCGACCGACTCCTGCAGCTGTGGCTATCAGCTGGCCGTAATTTTATAAAAACGTGGCTAACGAGCTGCTCGGGTCCCGCTGCCACTTCCGGTTTCACCGTGCTGCTCTCTGAAGGTAAGAACCTTTCTGTTTGTTTTTCTTTTCTTTTGCTTTCTTTCCCGTCCCGTTCCTGTTCCCCAAGTTCCTCCCAGGCTCCCTGGGGTTTTCCCCTTGGCTGTTCCCTGGTACAGTGTAGATCTGGTAACAAGTACCAGATTTACCGCTCTGGAAAACTGCCTATTTAATACAAGTCCAAGGCAAGCTTTCCATACTGTAGTGCCAATGTAATTCAGCATATCTGTGGAAAAGAAAACAGTCTGCAGGAATAAAATTTAGTTCCAGTGCGTGTGCAGTTATGGGCCAATAGAAGTGCTGGTTGTGACATAGTTTTCTCAGCTCAAGTTTGTGTCTCTCCAGTAAGAATTGGACCATAACAGGTAAACTTGTTTCACAAGACTGAGCAGCTGCTTAAAATAAGTGATAGCAAACCATTACCAGCATGGGTAGAATTTGAACAGGTAGCCTGTTCCTTGAGGAATCCAATTGCCAGAGGGTTTTAGCATTTTTAAATACTAATATATTAATGGAAATCTTAGAATATTTTCTTATATAACAACTTTAACTTGTATGACCAAAAAAAAAAAAAATCTCTGGACATGTAGAGAGAGAAACTGCTGTTTATATAAATAGGATCCTAGCAGTTGTGGAAGTTAGCATAACCTGTTTGGACAACCTAGTTATAGAATTAGAGCTGGGATTATTTTGAGAAAATATGCTGTCCTTTCTGTAACCCAGTCTGGAGAGTTTTCACTGAATAAGGGAAAACATTTTTATGCTGATAATTATTTTTTTTCCGGGGTTAAAGGTGTTTGGGGTGGGTACTTTCAGCATTTTTCTTAAGATTGTTACCTTAGTTGGTGTTACAAGTTACCAGCACCATTCAGTTACGTAACAATTTGTGTATATATTGTTATTTGACAAAGTTGAGACAAGTCACCTTTGTAGACAGATCATGTTCTTGTGTTAGATGCCACCTGACTTTCTTTGATTTGCTGAAATGGGTATAGCCTGTTAACTAAAGAGTGTTGAGCTGAGTACTGTAAGGACGTTGTCTTAAAAATGTCACTGTTCAGCTTGACAGCTCTGACTTCAGGCAACTTCAGCAAGTAATCTCATCACTTTGGGCCTTATGTCATACCAATATAGGAACAAAGCCATTGACAATTAATATTTCTAGTACAGTATAAATGTACTGTTTAATTATTTACTTTAAAAATGGTATTATGAAGCAGATGGGTTTGTGGATGGCTTTAAATTCTTATTTTTTACTAATTATTATTGTATTTACAAAATTTTGAACAAATGTTCTTAAATTATTACTGAGCCTAAAAGAATATTTGATTCTAATATTTTAGAACTGGACAAACTAATAATTACTTGAGAAGGTATTCCTAATGTTTGCAGATGTTTAGTTCGCTTTCAGGATGCCTGTGAATATTTCTTCAGTTTTTCTTTACGGGTTGTATGTACATTTACAATGTAGAAAACTCTGATCATGGTTCTTTCTAAAAGAAACTGCACTGTATCTACTTGGTTTAGTTGTTTATTGTTAATATGCTTCACTGGTGACAATCTGCTGCCAATCTTCCATTTCTGTTGGCCTTTTAAATGATTGACTTCTCCATGCTACATTCTTTGATTTTTATTTCTTTGCCCTTTGAGGTTTCTTTTAACTGTCTTAACATAAATCTCTCAGTGCTTCTCCCTGCATTCCCTCTTAAGTGTAGTAATCGTAATCTAGAAAGGGGCTGTTTATTCCTGCAAAATAGGATCTTAACCCCATAGTGACAGGCACTGGCAATTGTGTAGGGGGTGCATGTGCACCCCTTGAGATTGGCCACTGCTGACGCTGCCAGTGGCACCTGTGGGCAGTCACTGCTTGCCACCCCCTTGCCACTGACACTGCCAGCGGCATTTGCAGGTCTTCACCGATCACCGGTCAGCACTCACCGCTCCCGCCCCCACCCTCACCACTGACACTGCTGTGACTGCCTGTGGAAGCTCCCTACTCGCCACCACCACCGCTGCTGCCACTGCCTGCAGACGGTTGCCATGCCCCCCCACCAGCCTCGGGAAGCACGCAGTGTTCATGGTGACAGGTGGCAGAGTAAAATCTTATGCTTCTGTGTGTTAAATAGCAAAAAGAGAAAACTAGATCATATAATTATCTTCTAGGACATTGAACCAAAATACAGTAAAGCAGCTGTTAAGAAAAATTTAACATGGTGATTAACTTAAACCACAACCAGAATTACATGTGTAGGGCTATAATTTTGTAACAGTCCTTGAGAGCTATTTGCTTAGCAATGATTACAAGACAGTCAGTATAAATTATCTTAGATTATTGTAAATTTCAAAAGTGATCACACTGTTTTCAGAAGGAAAGCACGCAATTGCACCTTTTGAGGTATTGCTGAAATTTATTTGATGTCACTTTCATACGCATCATACTGGAAATTTTTTTTCTCAAAATCAGTTTTCCTACTTTTACCAATTGTGTTTTCATATACCTATGTTTACCCAAAGCCAGGACAACTCTGATAATTAGATAATAGTATCTTATACTTTAAAAATATATATAATTTGCCATATATAGAATCTAATTATAATTAGATTTAGACTAATTATAGACTTTGAAAAGATCTAATTATATGGGGGGGTCATCTTTTCATTTGTCCTCTACCCCCCATTGCTGTGGCAGGCAAAGCAATGTGTGGGGAGAGGCGGGGGGAGTGCCCAGGTCTGTACCCCTTGCCCTCTCACCCCAGCATCCCCCCACCTGTGCTTTCCCCCTGTTGCCTGTCCCCTCCCCACTTGCCCCTTCCCCCCACTTTATCTTTTGGGGCCACCAGCAGCAGGCCTGACCCAGCAGTCCTGAGCCAGGGCTGGAGCTGAAGCCACGGTGGAGAGGATGGGGAATGACCCCAGTTACAAGATTTCCTCCACCCTTTTCCCTTCTCTGCACACCCTTCCACTGAACCCCAAGCAGTCTCTGCCATGCTTCCCTCCCACAGTGCATTTTGCCTTGTCTCCCTCTACTATATGACCCCTTCCCTGCAGCATAAGCCATGCCAGTCCAGGGCAGGTGGTGGCTTGGCTCTAACTTCAGCCTAGGCACAGAGCTGGGACGGCATCAGCCGCTTATTTCAGGTGATACTTGAATCCAAAATGAGGCTTTATTTCCCCCCGCCCCCAATATTGATTTGAAGAAAAAAAAAAAAACTCCCTCCTTTGGATTCAAGTAAATATGAGACTTTAAGTCAACCTAGTACTTTTGAAGTTACATTTACCTGTGAATCCTATTGCTGGTTTAAAATCTGTACGATTCCCATGTTAGCTTATTGTGTTAATTGATATAGTAAGCCTTTATTTCTGGCCCATAGTTTTCAAGTAAGAATTCCTAAATATATATTTCTTTCTCTAGGTTGGGAATTATAAACGGACAGTAAAGCGGATTGATGATGGTTACAGGCTTTGCAATGATCTAATGAATTGTATTCATGAACGCGCCAGAATAGAAAAGGGCTATGCTCAGCAGCTTACCGAATGGGCAAAAAGATGGAAACAGCTTGTGGAAAAAGGTAATAAATGTCATAACTTTAAGCTCTGAGAGGCTTTACTTTTTTAATGGAAAAATAGATTTTTAAAAGAATGTTTCCACTTTAGCCACCCAAAACAAATGTGCATAGAATTTCTTAGCACATTAGTGGAGTCTCTAGAAACCTCCCAACACTACAATGTATGCTACAGTTCAGTTGCATGTTGTTGAGCTTGTTGCTGCAATTACTGGATGGAGGTTCTTGGCTCATTTTGCTGGAAATCGGACTAAATTAAAAAGGCCTCTTCTATCAGAATCTCCAAATTGAATTTTTAATTAAAGTACAAAAGATACTATTTGATTTAAGGTGTTAAATACAAAGCCAGGATTATGAATTATCCGCAAGTACAAGTTTAATGGCTTTGGATGGCTTTTTAAGAATAAAAGTTTAATGTGAAGGTATTAATTGAAACTGATGTTCTGTTCTGTGTAGGTCCACAATATGGAACAGTAGAAAAGGCTTGGTGTGCATTCATGTCAGAAGCTGAAAAAGTAAGTGAACTACATCTAGACATAAAAGGTGCACTGATGAATGAGGACTTTGAAAAGATCAAGAACTGGCAGAAGGAGGCCTTTCATAAGCAAATGATTGGAGGATTTAAGGAAACCAAAGAAGCAGATGATGGATTTAGGAAGGCTCAGAAACCCTGGGCAAAAAAGCTAAAAGAGGTACAGCAATCTACTGCATATTTCCTGTCTTGAGTTTCAATGTAGTAATGCTTCATAGAAAGCTTTAATGGGGGGAATAATACCCATTCTCAGGTAAATCCTTTTCTCATTGAGATCTCTGCTTTTTGTCCTCTTTTGGAAGAAGCTGCCTCTTGTTTTTCCTGTCACCCCTCCCCTTAACCACTCCACTCTCATTTAATGTTAGCCAATTCAGCAGTGCTCTAGAGAATGTGAAATTGACCTGTTTGTCACATTTCAACAGCATCTATGACTACATGTGAGATGTTAACTGTAGGAAAAGCGCTTAAAGGAAAAACATCTTTTTTACATTAATATTTTCGTTAATTAAAAGACCATGCAAGGCAGAGTTGGACGGGGCAAACTATTTCATTCAGGAATTTGAGGCATTTTTTTAATTGTTTTCCTTCAGAAGGAAAATTGAAGCTAAATTGAATGACAGTTACTTGTTTAATAGAGAAGGATAATGCCACCTTACAAATGCAGTATTTAGTAGAGGTGCATCGATATGTGGGTCCATATTGTATCGGCACTGATAAAAGGAAACTTGACGTGATCAACAATCATCTTTTTTTGGCCAACATGGTCAATAATGTCACAGATAAATGTGTTCAGCCACACCATGCACGTGACCAGCTGCTGCAGCCTGGTAAATCTGGGTGGGCGGAAGGCATGGGGGGAGGGGGGC